CGGCTCCCCGCGCTCCCCCAGGACCCTCTGCAAGGCGGTGGTGAAGGGGCTGAGGAACAATGAGCCCGTGCAGTGGGAAGTTCCCTTTGATATCCGCCCTCTCTTCCGGGAGCAGGAGAGCCAGGGGAATGGGGACACAGACCTGTGGAGTGAGACCTTCCACCACCTGGCAGCCAAGTCGGTCATCCGGGACTTCGAGCAGCTCGCCGAGAAGGAGTGTGAAATCGAGCACGGTAACACACTGCTGGCTGCAGGCACACCCTGCCCGGCATTTGGGGGGCTTTCCAGCAGCCTCAGGAATTAAAGCAAGAGCTGGAAGTGGTGAAATATTAGGGAATGTCTCACACAGTTCCCAAATGATAGCTCCCTCCAGCTGCCTTGTGTTTTTCTCCTGCTTCTGCACATCAGCGTGCCTGAGCTTGTGCTCCTTCACACTCCTCAGGAGCAGGGCTCAGTGATCCTTGTGGGTCCCTTCCAGCTCAGTATATTCCATGATTCTATGATTCCTCTGCTTCATGCATCAGGTAGCATGGTTATTTTTAAGGAGCTGGTCACTTGGAGCTGGGAGGAGGCATCAAACTCTGAGGATCCAGCAGCAGCCACACATCAGTGCTCTGGGCTGCACATCCCTGAGTCTTGTCAAACTTCTCCTCCATGAAGTGTATCTGGGCATGTAAAATAAGAGCAGAAGAAGCATTTTAGGCAGAGTTTAGAGCAGTACAGGGATACAGTCTCTGCTGGGTCTGGGGGCTGGGTTCAAGGTGTGACCTGGACTCTGAGCCTGGTGTCCCTCCCTGGCAGGGTCCGGGCGGCGGTACCAGCTCAACGCTGTCCACACCAGCAAGGCCTGCAATGTCATCAGCAAGTACACGGCATTTGTGCCAGTGGATCTGAGCACGAGCTCCTACCTGCCCACCCTGGTCCAGTACACCCACACAGGTAACGTGCTGTGAAACCTCCTGGGAGGGAGAGTGTCACTGAGAAACCTGGCTCAGGGTAAACCCTGTGAAGCCACAGCTCAGTGCTGCACCAGGCTACATACCCGAGGCTGTGGCTGAGCTCTTGGTGGTAAGAGCCTCTTCCCATGGCCAGGGAAAAGGTCCACTCTTAGGCCTGGATGCCCAAAGATGCCCAGAGAATCACAGAAAGATTTGGTTGGAAAGGACCTTGAAGATCATCAGTTCCACCCCCTGCCATGGGCAGGGACATCTCCCACTCTCCCAGGTTGCTCCAAGCCCTGTCCAAGCTGGCCTTGGACACTTCCAGGGATGGGGCAGCCACAGCTTCTCTGGACACCCTGTGCCAGGGCCTCCCCACCCTCACAGGGAGGAATTCCTTCCTAATACCTAATCTAAACCTGCTCTCTGTTGGTTTGAAGCCATTCCCCTTGTCCTGTCACTACAGTTCCTGACCAAACGCATCATCCTGCGGGTTTTGTTGCCATCGTGTGTGTGCCAGTCCCTCTCTAACCCTGGCCATTCCCTTCTCTCATGCCAAGGGGCAGCATCCAAGCAAGGCAACCAGAGGAGCCTGAGCTCAGGAAACAGAAGGCATCGTGGCCTTTCCCCTGGACGTCCCCAGTCAGCTTGTGGCCAGAATGGAGACAATAGATTTTACAGCACAAGTAAGATTCCCCGGGGTTTTGTCTCCTTCCTGGAGTTACAGATCTCAGCGGTTTGGAACATCTCTGGTCTTTTTTAATTCTGCCTTCTTCTTTGGATGCATTGCTCACCAGACACGTGTCTGGCTGGAGCTCATCTCCTTAAATGGGGAAGAAGCTTCAATTTACCATGAAACCCTGAAATCACAGGTCATGCTGCTGACAATCCTTGGAAGTTAATTGGCAGCCGTAACAGAGATAGCACGGGGGATGAAACGGGTGTAATTAGAGGCAAGGGGATGTGAGACACTTGCTTGTCACCAAATCCTCCACTAATGAAGACGAGTTGGATTGGACCTTGTCTGGCACTGTCAGAGCTGCAGCTGAGTTACCGTGGCCCTGATGAGGCTCATTGCCCTGATGATGCCGTGGGGAGGGAGGGCGGTGGTGCACGACAGGGGTTTCAGCTGGGTGGTGTTCCTGATGGGGTTCCTCCGTTCCAGATGCCGAGGAGAGCAGCCTGTCCCCCTCCAGCACCCCTCCCTCCTCTGCCTGGGAGCGTTGCCATCTCCCTGAAGGTAGGAAAAGAGCTGGTAGCACTTGCCAGGGTGCGGCTGCATCAAGTCCTCTTGGATATTTGGGCTCTTGACCAAATATTTTGCTGAGTTTTGGGTGGTTTTATAAAACTTTACGACCTATTTAGGCTTGCAAACGCAAGACCTGACTCTTTTTGGGGTACAGAGGATGGAACCTGATGCAACTGTCAGTATAAATCTCCCCCAGGCTCATTTTTAAGAGGTGTGGGAGTTTTATTATCAACACAGGAAAAATGAGGCAAGGGGAGAGGAAGGATTTTGCTAAAGACTCAGCAGATGGACAAGCCTGCCCATGTCCCAGCACACTGTGCTCCCTTTCCCCCTCCTGTAGCACATCATTTACCCCCAGCTCTGTTTCTTCCCAGAGCCACTCCAGAGCGTGTCTGCTTCCTCTGCACCAGCCCAAAAATCCATCGAGAGACTTTTTGCTGCCAGGTATGGACCAGCTCAACCTTAGCAGGTGCCTTTTACCTCCCTGGGTCTGAAGTGAACACAAGTGAGGGGGAGAGAGAAAGGACGTCCAGGGACAGCAGCCAGAGCTGGGACCCAGCATGATGCCAGTGTCTGGGGACTGGGGAGGGCTTTTGGAGGAGAGGGTGGGAATCAGGAGGAGCATGGAGGTTACAGTCACCTTTTTATCCTCCTCAGGCTGACCCTCAATAAAACCAGGCTGTTGGTTCGAGCTGCCAAAGGGTTCATGAGTAAATCTCCAAACAGAGAGAGCAAAGCCAGCTCTGAGGGTGACAATGAGAGCATGAACTACCTTCCCCTGGTGAGCAGCTCCTTCCTGGGTCTTGTTGGGGTTGCATGGTCATTGCAGGGGAGCAGAGGGAGGATCTTTTCGGATCTTGCCCCTGGATCTTTCCTCTTGCTGTCTCTGACAACCATGTCCAGTGGTCTGCTCAAAGACGGAGAGCTGCTCCACCCATCCACACCTTTTCCCTGAACTTCCCACAAGTGGTTGGTGCCTCAGAGCTTCCCTGTGTGCCCACCATCCCTTGCAGGTGTCCCTGCAGCTGGCCTGTGGTGCCTTTCTCCTGAACTCAGCCTTCTGCAATGCCATCAACATCCCCATGGAGAAGCTGAAGTGGACATCGCCCTTCGCCTGCCACCGCCTGTCCCTCAGCCCTTCCAGCTCCTACCACACCAAGAAGACCAGTCCCTCCATGGAGCACAAAAACTTTGGCTCCAGCCAGCAGCTCCTGGTCCCCGATGGGCACGGGAAGAGTCCCACCAGCAGAGACACCTCTCGGGGTGTGGTGCTGGAAGGCCCCGGCAGCCACACGGAGGACACCGGGCGCCTCCGGCACTCCTCGGGCAGCACGGTGGAGAGCATCTCCAGAGCCCTGACAGCTGAGAAGGAGCTGTCCCCCCCGGCCATCACCATTCGCCGCCTCTCCTCCCCGGAGAGCACGCTGGGCTCGGCTGAGTGGGAAGCTGACAGCGGCGGGGGCTCAGAGACAGACGGCTCCGAGGTGCAGGCACTGCTCCTCGACGTGCAGCTGCAGCAGCAGACGGAGCCCGAGGGGATGCTCTGGGCCACGGCGGTGGCCTTGGCCTGGCTGGAGCACAGCTCAGCTTCCTACTTCATTGAGTGGGAGCTGGTGGCTGCCAAAGCCAGCCTGTGGCTGAGCGGGCAGGACTTCCCAGAGGGATCCAGCCTGGCCACAGTGAAAGCTGCAGCCCAGCAGCTCTTTGTGCTCCTCCGGCACTGGGATGAAAACCTGGAGTTCAACCTGCTGTGCTACAACCCAGGCAGTGTGTAGAGAGGGTGAGGAGGGAGGCTTGGGTGGATTACTGAGGGTGCAGGAGCAGGGATCAATCCTTGAGGAAACACCTCCAAGCCTTCAAGGAGCTCCTCTGCTGCAGGGCTGTGTGTGTTTATTAGAGCAAACCCTGCGAATGGAGCAGCCCAGGCCCCATCCTGCACTCAGCAGTCGGAATTTTGCCCTGGGAGGGAACCTTCAGCTGCCCTTGCTATTTATTTTCAGCTGGAGCAGCACTTCCAGCTACAGCAGTTTCCTCTGATCCTGGTTCCTTCTGGTTCCCAGAGCAGATCTTGCTGCCTACTCCACTTGCCCTGCCCGTGCTTGGCTGCCTCTTCCCAGTCCCAAATTGCTGCCAAGCCCCTGCTGCAGCCCCCCAGCCCTGAGTCCCTGCTCTCCTGAGGCTCCTGACTGGCTCCTGCCACCTCAGATGGCTTCCAGAGAAGATTAACATCTGACAACATGCTCATCACATGGATCAAAGGGAATCTGGGCTGGGAATGACCATCTGAATAGCAGCCCTGCTGTCACAGCCAGGAGGATCAAGCCCAGCCATGCACCAACAAGCTGAGCCAGCTGGAGACTGGGACCAAACCCCCTCCCATCCACACGGTGCTGGGCTCCCTCAGCCCCCCTGCAATCCCAGAGGGAGTTTGTGAGACCCCTTGCAGCCAATGTGTGCCTTCAAAGCTTCACAGGCAGAGCAGGGGCACCTGGGATTGAAGGATCAAGTGCCTACGGAGGGAATCACATGTCTCTGTCTCTGGCATGGCTGTGATGCCCGTGGAGCCCATCCAAAACCTGCTGCCTTTCACTCCTTTCCTTAGCATGGAGCAGCCTTGCCATGTCCCACCAGGCTTCTGTCTTGTGTCTGCATGTCTGGGGAGCAGATGGGAGGGACAGTGGGGACCCCGAGCACCCCTCTGGTCTCTGCTCTCAGTGTCAACTCTCCAGGCTCCCCAGAACCACAAGCACCCCTCCAGTCTCTGACCTGGTGTCACCTCTCCAGGGTCCTGGTGTCACCTCTCAGGACCATGAACATCCCTCTGGTCTCTGCTCTCAGTGTCAGCTCTCCAGGGTCTCCAGGCAGATCCCTCCAGCCTCTGCTCTGGTGTCACCTCTCCTGGGTCCCCAGGACCATGAACAAACTCTCTGGTCTCCTCTGTGGTGTCACCTCTCCGGGGTCCCAAGGAGGATCCCTCTGGTCTCTGTTCTCAGTGTCAGCTCTTCAGGGTCCTCAGGAGTGTGATAAACAAAGTCTATAAGTTTCGAATAGTAGTTTATTACATGGAAAAAGCAAGCAGCCGGCTGGGTGACAGAAATGGGGACTAGTTTCCCAAATCTGCACACCCCTACTACAGGGTACATTTAGTATTTATCTTAGCTACTTCATGCATATTAATTATATCATATACATATACATTCTACAGGTTTTTGCTAAGTATTTAATATATGGGTTTTCTTACAGCTAAAGCTAAAAGGGTTATCTCTACCACCAGTCATAATTCATGCATTCTTGGATGAACAGGTGCCTAAAGATTTAAAGTTCCACTATATTTTATTCTTAGGATAGTAGGGAGGTTTTTTTTGACCTTGTAAGGGTCTGATTTATTTCTTTATGGGGGTGTAATTAAGTTTTACAATCCGTTTGTTTTATTTTGATGTAATCACCCATTTGTTTCACGAATCACAATTATTTATATATCACAGGAGGATCCCTCCAGTCTCTGCTCTGGTGTCACCTCTCCAGGTCCCCAGCTGGTGATGCTCAATGGTGCTGCAGGTTTGCTGGCCAGGTGCCTCAGCACAGTCGTGTTCTCTGTTGCAGAAGTGTTGTTGTCCCAGTAAATCACAGCCTGCTTGACTTCCCAGTGTGAGTCCCTTCTTTTGGGGCGGGTTCTTGGTGGGTTTCCCTGGGGACACCTCAGCTGGCTGGATCGTTGTGTGGCTGTGCAACAAAATACCCCCCCCCAAAAAAAACCAAACAAACCATCTTAATTTAGTGCTTGAGTTTAGATCTGGATTTCAAAGTGGAAGGTGCTTCCTTTGGGTTTTGAGGAGCTGGGTTTTGCAAACCCCACATTGCAGAGCACTCTGTAAACCGATGGATCCAGGGTTTTAAAAAACAGGGGAAGTTTGGTTTAATTTGGTTTAATGAAGCAGAGATGGAGCAGAGAATTCCTGCTGCTTTCTCTTATCAGGGCTTTCAGCAATTTACCCCCTCACCTGGGTCATTGTGAGGATGCCAAAAACCCACACCTTCCTTAATTAGCAGTGTAATTACAGGTATTAATGAAGCAGCCATCACATTTGCCAACCCAAAGCGGGATGTAGGAGCTAAGTCACCCCTTATTTTCCTCTTGGCAAGCAAGGACCTGCTTCAGTGCCCTCCTACTTTTGGTGACCTCTGTATATCACAAAAACCAGACAATTCTGGGCCAATTTTCCCCCTCTGGACTCCATCTCCGGAGAGGGAGTGGGTGTCCCAAGGAGGGGAGATGGATGTCTCCAGCCACAGCGTCTCCAGAAGATCCCCCTCAACATTCCCTCTACATCCAAGGGGATTTTCACCCCATTAAGTTATCGCCTTAAGGAAGGGCGCTCCGGTGCTGTTGCCAAGGTGACCGCAAGTGCCTAATTAAGAGAAATTAGTTTGGATACAGTTGTCAGCTGTAGCTTAACAAATAAACCTCTTTACGCCGTGTAAATAAATATTTGCACGCAGCGTCTGCACGGGGAGGGAGAGACTTCCAAGCCCCGGGGAAGCATCGTGCCAAGGGGCGTTTTGGGGAGATAACCGGCCAAATTGGGGCAGCGCTGGTGCAAACCTGCACCCCTGGGGTTGTGGTGGATGGTGGGACCCCGCAGAGACCCCTCCGTGTCCCCACGCCGCGGAGGGGTGATTTTCCTGCCAAACATCCCTCCTGCCACGGCCGCGGCTCCTCCTCCGCAGGGGCTCATTAGCCGGGAACCGGAGGAGCCTTTTCGTGCTTTGAAGGGTTATGAAACCTGCGGGAGAGGGGGAGGACGGGAGAGCTTAAAAAAGAGCCGTCGTGTGTGTGTATGTGTCCCCCCCCGCCCCACAACCAAACCATCGCCTGCCGAAAAGGGCTGGCAGCCGTTCCTGCACAGATTGTGCCTCTGCCCCCGTCCCCCGCCAACCCACCGCCGACGGGCGATGCCTCGGGGTGGAGAACTTTGCTGGGAAACGAGGTTTTTAACAGCATTTGCCATGTTTTTGTGTGTGTGTGTGTGTCCCATTGCTGCTGAGGAGAGTAGGGGGGGCAGAGGCCACGCTGCAGCCACAGACCCACCGGAGCATCCGCAGCTATCCAAGGGCTGTTCCAGGTGCTTTTAGCTCCTGATCTCTCCAGTAGGTGCAACAGAACAACATTACTGCGATGACGGCGTGGGGGGGGGTGTGTCAAAACCCACCAAACCAACCCTCACCCCCAAAACCTGGGCCACCGAGCTGCGTGGGGTTTGTCTTGTATTAACTACAAAATAGTTTTGCTCCGGGGATGCGTTTATCCCTTCGGTTTTTTCCCCAATCCCAGGACCCGGGCACGCCGGCGGGGGATGCAGCCGGTTGGTGCTGTGGGCTCCATCGCTCCTGAAATAGAGCTCAGGGGCAGCTTTCGGGTGTCGGAGGCATCTGAGTGAAGTCATGTGGATGTTATGCAAGACTTGATGATAGGTTGTAAACAGCTATTAAAGTGATTGGCAGGCCCGGGACGAAGTTTGTTTGGGGGGGGGGGGGGGGGGGGGAAGAAAGGGGAAAGATGAGTAATAATGATTAAAATAATTATCAAATCGAGACGTTCCATAAATTACAGGAAAAGTTTTGCGAGGAGGGAGGAAGATGAAGAAACCGCATCCGAGCGCTTCCCTGAGCTGGGGGTTGGGAGGATGGGACAGATACTGAGCACATGAAGTTTGGAAAGGAGGGTTTCGCTTCCTCAGACCCAGGTAAAAAGCAATTCCAGCTGAAATTTGGCAGATTTGGGTTCGCTGAGTGCTGCTCGGTGCTGGCACCCCCAAAACCCAAGGGCTGAGCAGCCCGAGGAGAACAGCCCCGAGTTAATTAGGAGAAACAAGCAGATTATGGGGAAGACAGCTTCTATTTATATATAAATACTTCAGTAATCAGCAGCGAAGGGCAAGGGAAATCCAATAGAAATATGTGACTGTTTAAGAAGCTTTTTGAGCAAAATGTTACACAATCAGCTGCATTTTTCTGGCTCTCACTCCAAGTCCCAGAAATTAAGGGGGGAAAAAAAAAAAGAGTGACCCTGAGCAGAAGGAAGGAGAAGGGATTTCTAGAGGCTTCTGCCCATCAGATAAGGAGGAATGAGGAGTCTTGGGAGCCTAAAAGCCAATCCCCTGGGTGCATTGCAGCGCCCGCCAGAAGCTCACTTTGACCCCCAAACTCCTCAGCTCAGCACCCGAAAACCAAAAAGCTCCACCACACTTTTCAATCCTGTGGGGACAATGTGGAAATACAGACATACACAGGTGGATTTCACATGGCAAAAAAGATGCCTGGAGCTTTGCTGTGTTCTCAGGGTGCTGTCAGTGGGTGCTGACACGGAGCAGAAATAGCTGCCGGTCCCCCTGCGATTTCACACGTCGCCCTCGCCACCTCCCACAGCTCTGCTGCACCCCAGCAAAACAGACACTCTGGGGAGGCTTTGGGGGTCTCACACGTGCAGTTCACTGGGCAGCACCTTAATAATGCCTTTTAGGGGCAATCAGATGGTCGCATCCTCATTTTGGAGCCGGGAGCTCTTCAAGGGCCTGAGGTTTGGGTTCTTTTGGGTTGTTTTCCCTCTCTGTGCTCACTCCCAGCACAGCTGCACTAAGTTTTTGTGATTTTTTTTTTATCCTGAAGGCAATATAAGGTCCAAGTCCAAGGTTTAGGGGATCTCAGGGGAGGGATAGGTGCATGCTTTTGGTGTCTAACCCTGCCAGTGAGCTGGTTGTCCCAGTGCTCTGCTTTTTGGGACTATTGTTGTCCCTGTTGTGCCATTCCCCATGTAAGGAAGGAGGATAGAAATTTGTCCCCTTGTCTGCAGGGAGCTGGATTCACTGTCCAGGGGTCACTGGTGTTTGCTTTGGGGCCTGAGTGTGCCTATGGCTTTGCAACATTGATTTTAGGGGTTGCATTTAAATCAGGAGAATCACCCCTCCTGTGCAATGACTTTTTCTGGTTTTCTGTCTTCTGTGCCACCTGTAAAGTCACCTCTGCCATGGGAAGTGTGAGCTGGGCTGGGATGCACATGAGTCCTGCAAGTGCTTTTCTGCTCCATGCACAGACTTTTGGGGCCCCTCCAATTGTCAAAGTCATTAAATCTCTTCAACACATGGATGTGATATTACAGATGTTTAGAACACTAAGATAGATGTCTGTGAGCTTCCCTGGTCGTTAAATTAGGGGATTTCTTGGCTTTTTGCTGTTAACCCTTTCTGTGCACGAGGCAGGAAAATAAGGGGTGCAGGTAGCAGGAGTGTGTGGGTTTGTGGGATGGGAAGGTGTTGGGGTCAAAACATGCATCAACCCCAAGGCAGTAGGGCACAGGCCATGGAAATCCTGTAAAGGAATCCTGGAGAGGGTGTAAATCCCTTGGGAGAGGTGCTCTGGTTGGGATTGCAGGTCCATGCAACCCTCTCTTGCTGTGTGCTTGTGATAGCTTGTGATGAGCTGGTGCCAAAGCACCACGATGAGTAGAAACAATTGTGTTTTGGGGCATAAACAGGGTGAGCTGCCCTGTGCAAAATTATCAGGGGTTTGGCCAAATGCACCTCTAGGTGCTGATGTGGTGCTGGTTTAAAAGCAGTGCTTATTCCTCTGGGATGAGGACTGGGAGCTGCAGGCTGGTGCTCACCCACAGGAGTCCTGCTCTGCAGAGGCTCCCCAGGAGTGGGTGATGCTGCTCCCAACCTGCCTGAACCCTGCAAGGTGCTTCCCCAACACCTGCTTGGTTAAAAGGCTTTAGAAGATGGTCTTCCCTGGGGATAACTCCAATTCCAGGTCTGGAAGTGGAGGCAGGCGAGTGTGCTGGATGCCATAGGGCTGGTGTGCAGGCTGCTCGCTGGCTCTGGGGATTCTGGCAGCTTTTCTCCAGCTGTGATGGATTGAATTCCTGCTATTTTGGGTCTCTCCAGCAAAGATGGTGAAGGGATGGGGTCAGTCATGCTTCAGGGGGGCTGCATCACCTCTTTTAGGAATGGCTCTGGCTGCACAATATCCCTGCCGTGGATCCTGCGGGATTCCCCTGTGGGATACGGGCTCTGGCTACGGATCCCATCCCACGGCGCGGCTTCAGGGCCGTGATTCCCGCTCGTTTTCCCTCTTTCCTTGGGGCTGTGCTCGCTGCTGCTGCTTATGCAAGCGCCGGGAGCCTTGTGTAACAGTGCCGCAGCCGGCTGCACGGCCGCGGGGGTGGGCGGCTGCCTCCGGATCATTCCCTGGATGTGTGTTTTCCTGGCGTTCAGGGCTGTAGGATGGGTGCCTTGGGGTCTTGTGGCTGTTTGCTCCCGGCCAGAGAGAGGGAAGGCTGTAGCAGAGCTCCAGGCTTCCTGGCTGCGCTGGGAATTGAACTGGGAATGCTGATACACCTGGAATGGGCTGATGAGGATCTGGGCTGGGCAGAGGCGATGGGATGGGGGGCAGCTTCCCAAATGCCCTGACAGGGCTGTCCTGGGGGATTTGCTTTGGGTCACAGCTCTGAGAGCTCGGTCTCAGCCTCCCCTTGCTCCTGGGGCACCGAGGTGCAAAGTGATTTTCCCTATTCAATCCTTTTTTTTGCTCCTCTTGGAGCCCCTCTGACCCCCCTCCTCGTCCCTGCTTCCCAGCACCCACCA